ATCCGTTAGTCTTAGTATGTGCTGAACGATCAATCTGAGAAAAAATTATTAAGAAGAAAAATGTTTCTTTTTGTGAGAAAATTTCATGAAAAACGGAACTTCTTTGGTCGGCTGATTGAGAGAAATATTTCGAAGACAGAAGCATTAAAAGGAAAAACGCAAAAAGAGTGGAACGTGTCTGAGTATATATATATTTATTGTTATTTCGTTTATATATACATATATTTCATGTCGGCATTATAAGCATGCATGATTTTATTGTACCATGTCGAATAAATTGATTTTAGTTAAATATCTTCCCTTTGAAACTTCTTATAGAAATTACAACTATCAAAAAGTGCTCACTTCGGTAGTATTATTTCCTTGCGCTCAGTAAAATGACAAGGAACAGTGGCATCCAGCGGAAAAAATTCCCATTGGTTATTTAACGCAGCTGATCGCTCCCTTGTGTTGCATGCACCCATTGTATCGAAACTCAAACATTTTTACCAACATTGCATTATAGTCAGCCTTTTTTTCTTAAAAAACAATCGCAATACAATTTTCGTTATTTAAATAGCACACGAAATGACAAAAGACAGTTGTAAACGGCCCACTAGACAATCATATTGTGTATACGCTCCGATCAAGGGGATTTGGTTGAATGCACATTTTATACTTATTTTTTATACCGTTGAATTATTTTAACGGGCATCTACTAATGCACTATAATATGATTTTGAAACATTCAGCTCAGTGTTCACACATTTTTGAATAAAACGTATGACTTTCAATGTGCGTCTGGTGAAATATTGTTCCTTTAAGATAAGTAGTTTTAAGATTTAGTTACTTTAAAAACATTTTTGTTGTTGTTAGTAATTACCCTGCATGTATAACAGGAAAATAAGAGAACTGGCTTCAAGAAGAATATTTTGTGTCTGTTATTTGGCGATGAGGTTTTGTAAGACCATGGATCAATAATATATTGAACATGCCTGAATGTTTAAGAGTTTCAAATGAAATAGATATTAAGTATAACATTCAACGACGAATGGAATCAAAATTGTCAATTACATATAAATACTATATCTTTTTATTAGTAGGCACTCAAATGATTTGAATTTTTAAACAGAAAAACTCACTATATATTAAATAAAATGATCGATATTTATTTTAGGCGTATTTGAATTCTTATATTTCTGCTTGTTTTGAAATAATAAAAATATGTACTGTATAGTAAAGAAAAAAATTTTAAATTTTTTTCTTATTGAAAGACAAAGAAAGATTTACCAGATCTTTCATGAAGAGTATATATAACAAAGTCAACGAAAATGTTCCAAGTGTTTGTTCTTAGTTGAAACAAGATTATACTCTGTAAATATAAAACAAATCCGTACTAGATAACAAATCTCATACCAGGATAAGCTGAGTATTACAGTTTTCCAGCTGCATTAGTTCTAAGTCGGCAATACAGAATTTTATTGTTTTTTTTTTTAATTTCGCGCAAAGCTACACGAGG